GATCCCTTCCGTGCGTCTCTGAATTCTTACTAGTACTGTTACTGTTACTATCAATGTTGCTATGGGTATTGTTACTGCTAGTGCGATGGACTATACTATTTTTGTCACTATTACTACAATTTTGACTATTGCTATTTACTATGATTGTTCTTAATAATCCTAGGCTTACAAAGCGCTTTCTATCCGCAGCCATCAGGCTGCTTGCAAGTTGTCGTCTGTTTTTAGGGCGAGGCTACCTCGCAAAAAAATCTGGAGCCCAGCGACCTTACAGTAATAGATTTACATAGGGGTTATTTCGGGATTATATAGGGATAATGAAAAAAAGAAAATGGAAACTACTACATTCTACCAGGGTATATAAAGGGATCATATATCACCTTTGTAATTACAGCAACCGACCTTGGCCTACATACAAACTCTCCTACCGATCCTGGCCGATGCATCATTATCTCATTATGGGGACCCCTGAGATGTTACCCCTCATCCTATGTCCCTAAATCCTAAGCCCCATATAACCCTCTCCTACAAAAAGCAAGAGGCCCGTGCTGCAGACAGCCCGTTCACGCTGCTTCGCTCTCAGCTCCTGGCATGGAAGCTCTTTTTTGGCTGCTTCGCAAACCGGGGCAACTAGCCTTTGAGGGTTGGTACCTTTTTGGAGCTTCCTATAAGGAGTATAGTAATTTGGGGTCTATATAGGGCCCCCCACTTATGGAGACTACCATATGCACCCAGTCCAAGTGAGGGGTGGATTTTCCAATGTGTCTAGCACAGTCTCATGTCTCAATGTCTTACGGTCTTATCTGGCAGGTACGCGTCACGAGCCGCTCTATCCATTAAAACATCATCTGCACAGAATATTTCGGCTGGTTTCAGTTCTGGACATCAAGAAAACTCAACACACTGATTGCGACTGCTACTAGGCCTTACTAGGCATGACGCAGCTTCCTGAACCAGGTTCTTCTGCCGTACAACTGGTAAATGAATTACTGGCGCTTGTGGTTTCCGAGACGACCCCAAGGCCTCCAGCATTTCCTCGATGGATTGGCCACGATTTCGTGTCAAATCCGGGGAGTGCGACCGTGGGCCTCGTCTTTTCCAAGAGCAGGCCTGAGCCTCCTAATTGGGACATCTCTGTGATTCCTGGAATACAACGGGAACGTCCTGCTTATTGCGGATACCATTTGGGCAGCTCAGATTGGGAACGGAAGCCACCCATGCAATTGTGACGGTCTCTAGATGACGCTCCCAAAGCAACTGTATGAATCCTTTGATATCAGGAGGACAGCCCTACCGAGCCCTTGAATCGGAAACCCGAATCGCGCTGTCTTCCCTGTTCTCAACGTAGGTAGTTTCCTCAAATGGTCCCCCAACATAGACCCCCAAATGCGATCATCCTTATTATAGGTACCCCCCCAAAAGGGGACCCTTAATTTTCGGAAGCCCCCATTTGAGCTATAGTCTAAACTCCTAGTGTCCCCCTTAATAGCCCGTATCATAATCCTCTACATTAGCTGTATAACCCCCCCCTCTAAGGAGTTAAGACTCTAGCTCCTGTATGCCCTTCTAATATCCCTATTTTATATCTATATAATCCCATCATAGTAGCTTCGATTATAATCCCCACGTAAACTCTACATAATCCCTATAGGCTCTGTATAATCCCAATCTATACCATTAAACCCCTAATTTAATTTGGAGAAACCCCTAGGTAGGGTGGGTGAGCTCCGGCCTGCAGGATCCCGCTTGGGACTTCGGCCTCAGCTTGGTAGCAGGGTTGCAGATGACAAGGAATAGAAAATCAGAAGGAAGAACTCCAAGTTGTACTTACTACTACTCTTACCATTATTACCATTCTTACTACTATACTATACTGTTCTACTGAATTATACTATCATACTATGACTATTGCGTGCTATTCGTATTACTATTACAATAGCAGGCCAGCCATGGGATTCTTGTAATGCCCATTAGACGAGGTTCTTTCCCCACACGAAGCATCTGAGATCTTTAGGAGTGGACTTCTGCTGCGTGCTCTTTCAGCAAGCTTCTTCGGATCCTCTCGCAGGATCACCCTGCCGAGGGGATATACCTGCGATTGCTGCTCAGCTTGCTGCATTCGATGAGAGGTAGGGTAGTTTCCCAAAACAAGGGGACCCCAATATAGACAACAAAATACTACAATGCTTATTATGGGGACCCCAAAATAGTATCATAATACCCCTAAGGGTGAGTTCGCGTAACAAATGCTTTGGCTCCTTCATTGGAAGCTTTTTGCCGAACTCCAAGCCTTTGCTATACAATCTTCATCCTGCTTGGAAGGCAATGAGGAAATTTCGGGCCGCGATACTGCTTACTTTTAATGAGAAACCCAGGGTCATGATTGATGCAGGTTATCAAGACTCGGCTCATCAGACTCTATCCAATCTATAAACATCCCATGTTGCACGGGCATGGGCGTCTGACAGCCTCCTCTCTGCCATCCGCCGCCTCAGCATTCTGCGGCAGATGAGGAATGAGAGGCTCGCAAGATAAAGCTGGAGGTCTCCTCGGGGTTCATTGCCACACCAGCTCATGTCCATTGACAGATACGATCCGCGACTGTGAGGTACCCTCAAATACCTTCAAACCAAATTGATTATCGGCAGCTGTCAGGAACCTCGACGAAAGTGGAAGCACAATTTGTTCTGGGAACCTAGTGCTCAGAAGAACAATTCTCAGAAACCTTTGACGAGCTTCAATGGCATGGGTGGCTGTGATATTGCTCAACGGCTTGGGACAGAGGCTCCACGAGCCTGACTCTAGATGAGGCACAAGCCCCTTACACGTTTAACTCCTTGATCAGGCGCTGTGTCTCAGACCTACACCTGATCATTGTACTCAAGCTGGGCAAAGTCTGAGCTTGTCTAGGCTTTTCGCGCTACTGACCCAGTACAGCAGAAAGAGGCTGCGAGAGGTTGCAGGTGGATGCTGCCCTTTTGCAGAGATCACAGACTTCGCAGTCCTTATTCTGAAATCGGATTCCCATGCAAGCAAGGATAGATTTAAAACACATGTAAACATTTCAATCATAATAAAGTGTTAAAAGCATGAGGGCCCCAAGAAGTCTGCCACGCATCTGTAGCACTACCACAGACTCATCCTGGTCTAAACCCACAATCTGCCATTACTGCGCCTCAGCCACCCAAAAAATCGCAAGGAGAGTTTAAGGGCCCTATTATATTCTAGTAGTTTCCATTTTCTTTTTCCACTATCCCTATAGTACTGTTCATTATCCCAGTATGTATATAATATATACACATAAGGGCCATGTGAGGCCCCTGGGGTCCGAGCTCGAACTCTGATGGTGATGCGGCTGGGAACTGACCTGGGTAGTAGTCACTTAGGAGTCAGTTCACGCCACTAAGGCCGGCATCAGGGATAATTATTTTCAGGAACCTTGTAGTTATCCCTATGCCTGAGACCTTTAATTCCAAATCGGGTTCCTGTCTTCCTAAGAAAAGCTAACCAGCTAGCACAGGGCCCTTGCACCATCCGAGAATCCGGAATCTTAACAGCTGATACAACCTAGGCAGGCATATTACAAAACACTACACTACTGTTATACTACTTAGAACAGTCTGTAGGATATCAACTGATATTAGTTTGGTTTTTCACTACTCAGGATATGGAAGTTCCCAAGGGGACCCCATATAAACCCCAAAATACTGGAAGCCTTACTAAAAACCTACCCCGAAGTTTGGGAAATTACCCAAACTCCAAACCCTAGCCCCATATAACCCCTAGATTCCCTTTAAAGGTACCCCTAATTTTGGGGAAGCTACCTATATTAGTTTCCAAGCAGTCTTGGGGTCCGGGCTCGATCACCGAAAGCGTCTGCCCAGACACCCAGGTGCCGTTGTCCCGGCATGCCTGCAACTTCTCATGGCGAACTTGTTTGTTTCAGCCTGGGGATGTATGGGGATGTGTTATGTCGGGATATATAGGGAGAGTCTATGATAGTGGCGAATCACATGCAGCAGAAAATGGAAAACTAAATGGAAACTGCTATATGGGCTTCCAGGGTCATTGCCATGGCTGTAACTACGGCAGCGCTTCGTAGAGTTCTATACGGTTCGACATGAAATTGGACTATATTCCTCTGAAGCTACCAGAGGAAGACTTCAGGTGTCACTAATTCAACATCAAGGAGCATCTGGGTGGCGCCTGCCCTTGCTACATCGAAAATCTGTCGAAAAGCGTTTCTAAGACTCTAAGAGCAGCAGAAGTGCAAATGACTGGCTGAAAGCAGAGCGGCAAGGCACAAGCGCTTTGCGCACTTGGGATGTGAAACTTTGAACTGGATTCCCTGTAGCTATCCATGGGGACGGACAAGGAGACTTCCAGTCATGCTGAAGCTTCATCCCTAAAATAGCAGGCCGTCAGAGACATTCTGCCACCCTGAAATTGAATATGTCGATAAGTTTCGGGTGTAGACCTGAAAATCCAGAACACTCCCCCAAAACACTGTCTCTCCTGCGTGCTGCGATGGAACATCCAAGTCCGGAAGATCAACTCAACTGCGGCCTCCACCGGTGTTCCCGGTTCCCGGAAGAAGTGGAGGATGGCCTTGTTCTGCGCTGCCCTCTTTCTGTACCTGCAGTGCCGCGGCACACTACTTGCTGTGCGGAGGTGAAGGATTGAATTTGGGGATCTCTTGTCTGTACAGTCATAGACCATCAGAGACATCTTTTCCGATTCCTCACTCCAGATATGGAATCTTTCAGCATGGCTTGGCAGCGGTGTTGGTAGTGGGCTCCAGTCTGCAATGATGAGCGGTACATGCTTATGTTGTTTACCAGTTCAGAAAGCCAAATCGTTCCCAGCTGCGTTCTAAACACAAGGCATTCCTTCCTCGACGAATTTCAGTCCGCGCAGTCCTTTTGTACAACAACTTCTTTGCGATGTGCGAAGGTAAGACGAACACAGAATGTCCCAGGCCCTGCAAGGTTCCATGCGGGGACGTCCTTTTTTGATAGCCATTCGGACTTGTTGCTTTAAATGGTATGCGTATTCCATAGGCACGCTTCATGTCTGTTCATGCGGCATGTCTGTGGTGTGGTGGATAAGTATATGGTGGAAGTACGCTTCGGTTCTGTAAGCCTCGTATACCCAACATAGGTCCCCAGCCCACCCTCCAAAAAAAGGCATTTCACACCCCTTATGCTCCCATTACATAGTCTGCCCTTGTCTCCCTGCCCAGTGAAGGGTCCCACCTGGAATATCATCCAGAGTCTAAGGATAGCCAAAAAAGATACCCCCCCACCCACAAAATGCTGGCAATCCCCGAAGTCTGTGGTCTGGTGGACACCGAGCGCATCACTGCCCAAGCGGAGCCACCTGCACTTGAGTTCGGGGCATGGCATGATGATTGGGGATCAGGGTTTCGTGCTTACTTCAGCTACTTGAAGCCTCGCGAGAACGGCTTCTTAGTCTCAGCAGGCAATAGGCAAAAAGTCAACAGAGACATCTGGGCCCCTATGCTGAGTAGAAGGTACAGTCTGTTCTGGCACCCTCAGTTTTAATGGGTGTAGTCAAACAGGCCTTTTGCTCGATCTTCTTCATGACGCCCATGGGGATGCGCGGAAGAGTCTGACAGGTTCAGCCGGCAAAGCGCATGCAGACCGGCGGCCCAGTCTCAACTCCTCAACCAAATGAGTCTGCTTTTCTTTCCAGTCTTCAGGCTGCTTAGCAGTACATGCCCCAAACTCCAAGTCAAGCTATGGCTGCCAGAAATGATTTGTCACGTGACCCCTGGGGCCGTGGCCGAGTAGTAGTAGCGCTCGTCCAGTAGGAGGGACTGAACAGCTTCAGGCAAAAAGGATGCCACAAACATCTCTACACGGAGACAACGTCTCCCCTTCATCATGCAGCTGACATGCCCATTTCTGGTGCCGTTGATTTTCTGAGTGACACGTCGAAGCCTTTATAGGCTGCAGAAGTGCAGAGTCAACAACAAGCGAGCCAAAACGCTGGGCATTTTCACGATGCTGTAACAGTTCGCCCAACCATCATGCCTCAACATACTCGCCGATGGTAACGACAAAGCCCGGCGTGGATTTCGAGGGCTCGAACCTTATGTCGCAGGTCTGACCCAAGAGGACACTGCTCTACTTACTAGCCACTGCAACTTGTCTCGTGATAAAGCAGTACTGGACAGCGCTCTCTGCGCGCACGTAACTCCCTACCTGGATAGCAGTTTATGCTTAGCAAAGCCTCTCGTGTCCTATGTATGAAGACCTGCTACACAGCAGTAGGAACAACACGCAGCGATGATGCACAAAATACAACTGACATGCCCGAAGGCACGCTGAACCTTGACAAGCTCTGACCGTAATGGGACAGTCCCTCTGACCCCAACACTCACCGACTCCAGAATACGTGCATCCCAATCCTACAGATCTAAACCCATTTGCTGTTGCTGCCTGAGGCCATTACTCCTGGTCATCCACGCAGTACTCCCCCAGGAAATCCCAGAGCTTCTCGGGAGCACAACCTAGGCTTGCGTTGAGCCTGGATGAAATTCGGTGTGGGCAGAGGATTGGAAAGACAAAAAGGAAATGCCCCACCAAAGGGGTTTTACTGTTCGGGGCCGTTTCCCCCAACAATGCCACGCAACACCTCGCAGCCTTCTCCGCACGGGGACTATTGAAAGCAAGTAATGTTGGGTCCACAGAATTTGACCTCGCGCATTGAGGCTGCAAAAGCAAGCTCGCATTCATGAATGGATCCCTTTAACATTGGAATCTTGCACTCATTGCTTGCGATGATGGCCAAGCCCAAAAAAGCCAGCACCACGCTGCAAGCAGTCCGTGGTATACCGGAGTCCAGGCTGCCGTAGTACGTTCTGCGAGGTGCTATCCAGGTCAGTGAGGGGCTATCAGCCCCTGAATGCCAAGCGACTAGTAACAGGTAACATGCGGCTAAGTCAGGGCCGTTGTGCTATCTACCTGTCGCTTGCTTATGCCCTGACAGGGTTCTCGCGGACTGGCCACAAAACTGTTGAAGATTTGGACGAAGACTTTGCTAAGCTGAGGTTCGCCTCATTGGATGCCAGAAGCTGCTGGTAGTAGTCATTCCTATCCGGGCCCCCCAACCCCATTTCTTCCCTTGCCACGGCCAAGCACCGCGCCAAAGCGGATGTAGAGGAATCCGCAACATCTGATGTAAGGCCAGTCCTGCGCCGGCTTTCATTTGGGCACGCTGTCAACTGTCCTTTTCGGTCTTAGTTCTTTTGGAGCGCAAAGGAGGGTGATCCAGGAAGATTGGGGCCAATCGGAAGAATCCTTCTTTCTCCTTCAGGTGTCTGTGTTGGGAGCTAGGGCTCTCCGGACGTAGCCCCCGGGCTTCAATACAGCCACAGTAGGTAGTATCACTTGTTGAAACCGGTAGTGCTCAGAGTACGAACAATTCATTTACAAACTTATAGCCAAACAGTGCTTTGAATCCGTTAAAACTGGGCAGGCAGCATGCCTCAGTCAACAACTAAGACAGAACAGCAAGGTGCTTCTTGCGAGCCGAAAATGTGTTCCTCCACCTCCCTGATAAGAAATATCCCTAAGATAGTGCCATGATATAGCAAGGGGATGTCTCTTCTTACTTTTTGCCCAAAAACACCTGCTTCCATACACGCATCAGAGTCAGGCCTACTAGGCGGGCATCAAATTGCGGGGTTGGCTGTAAGGGACCTGAACTAAGATAACACGTGTACCTACTTTATGGTAACTTCGTTCCAGCTTCTTGTCAGCAACCCAGATTAACTGACCAGGCAGTTATGGGTTTATGAGGTGAGGTGATTCCTACAGCAGTCTTCTGTGGCAACTGGGCACACACTGCCCTTGACTCACTTACCGCGTGCCTTGCCTTGGACTCGCAAAGCAAGTTCAACTCGTCATAGGACAGGCCTGGCATCAGTGACCGACACTCTCAAGACAGTTCGGTACGTCACCTGAAAACTTCCGTTCATGTGCACAGAGCTGAGGCTTCACATATGAGGCTTGCAGGCTTGATCATTTTACTCTGGTAGCTTCGATGCCAGGTTTTTCTCATTTGCACTCGGTTAGAATCAACACCAATGTCCGTTGCTTGTGGCAGTGGTGCTGTGCTAAGCTCAAGCAAGTCAGCAGCACCGATGGTGAACAGGCGGTAGAGGCAGCAGAACAAGCTGGAGGGCACGGTCCTTGGAGCTGCACAGCCTAGCCCTGCAGCCTACCCAAGATCTCTCTGTGGCCATGGTTGATCGAATGCTTCTTGGTCGCATTAAACCCCACGGAATGCATCTCGAGGACCCTCCACCTACTTTGTCACAACTCTCTAATTGCGCATGTGATCGTCTGGGCCATGTGCGTGGAGCCCCCGCCGTAGGTCTCCGCTGTCTCTACATACTGATACATCTCCTGGGGTTGGCAGGATTGTGGTGCGACTTTTTGGGACGCCTGGGTCATGTTCAAGTTTGACACCTTTGCAGAACTTACAGGGTCCAGCAGCTGCGCATTGCTTTTGAGATGTTGCTGTTGAGGAGGCAGCAATGTAAATCCCTAATACTTATTAAGGGTACCCCGATATGGGGCGCTCAATTTTTGGAAATGCTCACTCGTCTAGTGCTGGCCAGGTTCGTCCATGATGCCTTCGAAAGTGTCGATTTTGACCAGCCTAGCGAAGACTAACAGAATATGAGTGCTTGTATGCATTGCTGCTATGTGAAGCTGCGATCTACTGACAGCGACTAGGAGAAGATATTCAGATCAGTCAAGGTAACATGAGGTATCATCATGCTACACCAGCATGCATGATGGGCCTTATTCCAGTACTTCGGAATATCTGACAAAAAATGCTGCAGCCACGATGCGTCTTGAAGTAGGTGTTCTTCAAGATTTGGTCCCGCAGCCTCAGTTTCCGCCTAGAGCAGCTGGCATTCCAACGGAATTGCCAGCGAGGCATTTCCAAAAATGGGTCTATGCACTGCAAGAAGGTCTCCATGACTCTGGCACATGCAAGAGCCCGGCATGGAGTTAAAGTTGTATGTCTGCTTGTTCGTGATTTCGAAGGCTTCCGCGCCGCGCATCCGTGCCTGAGCGAGTCCGCCAAACTTTGTCGGAGGTCTGTATAATGCTGCAATGCAAACTTTGTCGGAGGTCTGTATACTGCTGCAATGCATCGATCTTTCGATGACTGTCAGTAGTTATATCATGATCTGTTTGCAGAATGAACGAGCTCCACGAGCTGGAACAGAGAGACTTCAGGCTTTCCTTTTCTGTTTGGTGGATGCTTTCCTTAAGTCCATCTCATTTACTTGTGCCGTTCTTGGCTGAGTATAACTGATTTATTGATTTGCTTCTGAGGCTTCGGCACCAGGCGTCTCATCCTCTGGCTTTTTCTCGGAGCCCTTCCTATCGTCCTTTCGCGCAGGAAGTGTTTCTACATCATGGGGTGAACAGGTGAGCCCATCCTCCGACACCATGGCAATAACAACTCAAGTTGTCCTTGGTTGGGTGCTGAGGATGTTCACTTATGCAGACATTCTTATCCATCATGACAGTCCCTGGAGGACTGGCTACACCAACCAGAATCGCAGCCCAACAAAGATGATAGTACACGTGCGTGCCTCCAGTACAGAGTAACTTTGACAGACGCCGACCTATTTGCACAACGAAGCATGTTGTTTTCGACGCAGCTGCTTCCCCCACATGCCCCCTCACAGGCCCCTAAATGGCCCTGAAAGCATGCCAGGCCTTCTTCTGCGAGTTTGGATCCACCGCCGAATAGTATACCTGCCGGCTTTCTTGTGGCCATGAAGGCAAGACGAGGCAAGAGTCTTCCAATGCAAGCCATCCTTTGTATCTGTTGAGATGAGCAACTCCAAGCGATCGAAACTCTAAACTTGGTGCTACTGTTTCGGAGTAGTTTGATCCAATCAGCCAGTGTGAACACTGTCAAGGCGGCTCTGTTCCGCGGAAAATGACCAGCATGCTGATAATTTCCATAATTTAGAGTTTAAGGTTTAGGGTTTAGGGAAGCTAATTCAAAAAAATCTGGAGCTGCCAAGCAAGGGCACTCGCCGACAGATCTTGCAGTTCAGCTGCGGCTTTCTGTGGAAGTGACAACCTCGGAAACATGCCGACAATTGGGTTCTCCTGCCTGAGGAGCTGGTATCCAGTCCGTCAACAACCCCTTCCCCAGAGCTAGATGACCCCAGTGAAGCTGTTTCACTCTCCACGATAGTTTCGATGCTCTGGGTGGGGAATTGCTAGCCCGCAGACGCTGGTGAGAATTGAGTCGCTGACGGATTGGCTCGGAGTCCTGCATACAATCGAAATCTTGGAGCCAAAGGCCCTGCTTGCCACGGTGTGCCGCAAGCGACTTGTACGAGTAGCACGGAAGTTTGTCTTTTGGTGGTGGATTGGCACCAAGTTTAGCACCAAATAATTATGGAGGCCCTAGAGGCCTCTCGAGACTTGCGGTAGCCGCTGCTTTTGTGGAAAGGACAGGAACAAGTGGCTCCTCCTCTGGCGGCGGGGGCTTCTCCTCTTGAGCTGCCTCACCTGAGCCAAGGAAATCAGCTGCCAATCCGTAAAAATGTGACGATGAATCAGACAAAAGAAATGACCCCTAATAGTCAAGCAAGCCGGTCATGGTAAGGACGTCCCAGCGGGACCACGCTTTGGGTTCCAAGACGGATCTCAGTGAAGGGCCGGGTGCAGATTTCAGATTTCAGTGCACAGCTCCACGTTTCAGGCTGGACGTTGCTTGCAATGCATTCACTCCGTTTGTAGCCTGTCCTTTCGAGCACTCATGAAGCCACTAAGATGAGGTTGAAACACATCCTCATCTTGCACATCCTTCCCTCTCCACTCCGCCCTCGACAGGCCTTGGCGCGCGACAGCATCCTGCCCGACATCACGCATACACAGCAGGCAGGCTTCAGAATCTGATGTCCCTGGGTATATACCTATGGGTGCCTCAGGACTTGGCGTGGCAAGGTACATGCTACTGGAGGGGGCGATGGTCACCACAAACTACAGCGAGCCCCGAGGCGCCCTCTTCTGAACAGAATACGTCGACAGAAATGAGTCCAAGCAAGGCTTTACAACGGGCCGCCTAGAAGATTCAAACGGGTTGTCTAACCACCAGTAAAGCGTCCGTAGCTGGTGTGAGGTGTACCAGGAGGTCCGGGTCTGCAAAAAACAATTAAATGGGCGGCATCCAGGACCTTGTAAGCCTTGCGGCATGTGGCTTTGGATGACCCTGGGCATAGCCTTGGCCTGAAGAGCTACCTGGACACCCAATACCAAGCGCATGGCCGGGTTCCTAATACCCTAGAAGAACCAAAGAAACCTGTCCTGCTTCTTGGGAGGCTCCGGCGTAGTTTGCTGTCCTGGCCTCGCCGAGGTTTTAGGGTTAGGAAGTGGAAAACGGATTCAGAATCTCAGGGATTCAAGCATGTGAGGGATATATAGGCGGAGTGAATCAAGGGTTCTGGGCAAGTTCCGTCAATGCCGCAGACAATCTTGACTAATGTACATGTGAGCTATAGTCTAAACTCCTAGTATCCCCCCTAACAAGCCCTATAGTAGTCCCCAATATAATCCCCTATAGAGCCCCCTTTGAGGAGTTTAGAATATAGCTCATGTGAATCTTGGGATGACGTAGGAGACTTAGAGAGTGTTATCGAGATCCCTTTCAAAGTTGGGCAATCCCTTAACGTCATGCATGAAGCTGGGTGCAAATTGCGCAAACAACGGCTGACCAGCAAAGCAGCCATGATTTTGGAAGGCCGGCTGTTTATGAGTCACAGAGGTTCAGAATAAGTGGACCCCTGATCTACTACCAGCTTGGACCTTGCAAAGACACCCCTAAAACCAAGGGTCTAGCGAGCGCAACCGAATCAATCATGCAAGAGCAGTTTGATCCTCAGCGGATGGTCGCATGAAAGCACGAATATAGATGGAATGTGTTGTCTCACAAATTCCAAAAGTTCCTACAGGTCCATGTTACAAAGCACTGACAACAAAACCGATAGTGTTGCAGAAATGACACGCAGCAGAAATACTGTTCATCAGCAAGCGCCGACAGTTACCGGAACGACTAAACTTAACCCCTTTGCCCGAAGAAGAAACGATTTTCTTGCAATCACACAAGACATAAAGAAAACCAATCCCAAAATGTCACTGTAAAGAAAAACGGAGAAAGAAAGCTTCGCAGCTATGTCCTTCATGTCTTTGATGCTTTGACACACTAGAACTTCAGAAACAACAATCACCACAATTCCAAGTATGGAGCATTGGACAGCTCTGGGTCCGTTCACTGAAGATGTTGCCACTTGGGGTATCGGGAGGGGGCGGTTGATGTTGATGAACTTTGATTTCATCCCCTATAGCCTCTTCACGGACCCAGCTATCGAAAAAATTGCTCTGGAACTGAAATCCTCCATGATCCCTGCAAACCGCTTTCTGAAGTTTAGGGCCCCTAAGGCCAACCAGCCGCATAATGCAGCATGACAGTGCAAAACGTCTCCCATGCAAAGTTCTCAAAACAGTAGCTGCCTGCTTCTCGAAGGCTTCAACCTGTTCAATATCCCATTTTAGTTTGTTCAGACCGCCAACAGTACATTAGCATAAACCCTGCCCGATCCCGAACCTGAATCCTTTTTAACCCAATCCCTGAACCCTATTCAACCTCAGAATCTGATCCCTCCATGCGGGAGTGTCGCAGCATAGCGGGCCCACTACGTCATACGACCCCCAACAGTCGTACACCCTAAACCCCAACTTACTGGTGCTTAGTAGGGAATCATGGAATACAACCACTCTATACTCCCTACATTATATATATATATTCCCTTTTGTCCTACTAGAACCCCATATATACCCTACTATAATGTGGTAGTTTTCACTCACTTTTCCGTTACCCCTGTATAACCCCAATAGATTCCCTTGTTCCCTACGAACCCTAAACCCTAAAACTTAAACCCTAAACCTAAAACCTTGAACCCTACACTGTATTCCCTCATTCCCTACCAACCCCCCAGTAAGCTAAGCCTAACAGCAGCCACAACTCCACCTGGGTGTGCGGTCCATTCGCTGTTGGACCAGGTCTCGAGCCTCATTTACCGGTTCACTTTCTGGGGGTTAGTAAAGACTAAAGGACTATATAGGGTTTAGCGTTTAGGGTTTAAAGTTTAGGGTTAGTAAGTATCGAATGAGAGAATCTATTGGGGATACATCACATTCTGGTAGGGTATATGCAGGGTTATAGTAGGGAATAAGGGAATGTATTATATAGGGAGTACGTGGAGATGATATTCCCTTGTTCCCTGCCAGCTTGGGCCCCCCATTTGTCTATTACTACTATAATTATCACTATTATTTACTACTATTATTCCTACTATTGTGATTACATTTTTTGCCAGTATTAGGCCTGGGGATATTACCCCAATCATGCAGAATCAAATGGAAAGGGAAAATGGCCAAGGAAATTGAAACCGGGTTTTATGTAGGGGATTGTCAGGGTTAGGGTGTAAAGACCCCCATTGATACGACCACTTATAAGCGGTGTTAAAAGGATTGAGAAGGTTCTGAGAGACAGAGATAGATAGCGAGATTCTTCCGGAAGTGTTGTTTCTTCATACTGCACTCTATTAACTCTTTTAACAAAGGATAACCATAGTGCACTCACAATACATGAAGAGCAGGCGAGCCGTGAAGGGAACCGTATGCGGTTACAAGTATGAAAGATGAAGATCTAGCAGTAGATGAGGATATGTGTCGATGCACAGAGATTATAATATATAATCCCATTATGGTAGTTTCCATTTTGTTTTCCATTATCCCTATAGAACCCCAATACATGGTAATCTTCATTCGATTGCCCTGCAGGGCTCCGCAAGGTTTACGATCACACGCAACCTTGACTGTTCATG